TAGGCGCCGAGCCATATTTATTTGTTTTCTGAGACAGGGTCTTTCTATATTGTCCAGGCTGGAGTACAGAGGCATCATTGTAGCTAATTGGAACTTTAAACTCTTAGGCACAAAGATCCTCCTGCTTCTGCCTCCTGAGTAGCTAGGACTACTGGCACATGCCACCACATCCAGCTAATTTTAAAATTTTTGTAGGGTGTTTCATTAAGTTTCCTAGGCTGGTCTCAAACTCCTGGCCACAAACAATCTTCCCACCTCAGTCAACCTCCCAAAGGTCAAGGTTGCTGTGAGCTATGACACCATGACACTCTACCCACGGTGACAGAGTGAGCTCTGCCCCAAAAATACAAAACAAAGGCCAGCCACAGTGGCTCACTCCTATAATCCTAGCACTCTGGAAGACTGAGACTGGTGGATTGTTTGAGCTCAGGAGTTTGAGACCAGCCTGAGCAAGAGTGAGACCTTATCTCTTAAAAAAAAAAAATAGCCAGTGCTGTGGCGGGTGCCTGTAGTCCCAACTACATGGGAGGCTGAGGCAAGAGGTTAGCTGAAGCCCAAGAGTTTGAGGTTGCTGTGAGCTATGACGCTATACATTCTACTCAGGGTGACAAAGTGAGACTCTGTCTCACAGAAAACAAAACAAAACAAAAACCCCCAAAGTGCTTAGATTATAGGCATGGGTTACTAGGCTCAGCCAAATCAAAATTATTTTAAAGCAACTCCTAAAAATCAAAAGTTAAACAAAGAAATGAACCTAAATTTATGTTCACTTAAAACACTACAATTTGACTGCACCTCTCTACATCTCTAATGGGACAATTATCTAACAGGGAAGAGAACTGTGAAAAATATATCTCAAGCTGTTTATAGTAATCCAAAGGTTGGTAACAGTATTTTTTTCCTGAGAATATGGCAATAAGCAAATGAGTAATTATGTTATTTAACTTTATCATACCTAGTATCACTGAGAAAATTAAAGACACCCAAGGTTATAAAAAAAAAACCATGTAGTCCTGAATTCAAATTAGAGGTATGAATAAAAATTCATGATGTATTTTATCTTTACAATGTTTCCCAGCTCTGTCCACTGAGAAGGCCAAGAAACAAAGCGCAACCAAGACACAGGGAACGCCTCCCGCCTCCCGTACCCAGGCTGCAGCCTACACGCCACTCCCGCTAACAGGAACAAGGGCTCTTTGCAGGCCGCATTCCACGTCTGCCACAGGAAATACACAAGATGGGACTGGAACATCCTGCCGCACCAGATAACAAGGAGGCTCTCAAAGCCTCCTCTGGTCACGTCAAAAGGGCCCAAGAGCTGACATGTAGAGGTTCCCCCTGAGCAAAGGTGGAGCATACTGAGTCTCATCAGGATAACAACAGCAAGGACTACAATATAGTAATAAGTCCTCAAGAGCCTCGAGAAGGATATTTTATTTTTATTTTTTTTTTTTTTTTTTGAGACGGAGCCTCAAGCTATCCCCCTGGGTAGAGTGCCATGGCATCACACTCACAGCAACCTCCAACTTCTGGGCTCAAGCGAGTCTCCTGCCTCAGCCTCCCAAGTAGCTGGGACCACAGGCGCCCGCCACAACACCTGGCTATTTTTTGGTTGCAGCCGTCGTTGTTGTTTGGCGGGCCCAGGCTGGGGATTCGAACCCGCCACCTTAGGTGTATGTGGCTAGCGCCTTAGCCGCTTGAGCCACAGGCGCCGAGCCGGATATTTTATTTTTGAAAACAGGTCACCACTGAAGGACGCCAGTAATCCAATTCCTTTTATTATTTATTTATTTTGAGACAGAGTCTCACTATGTCGCCCTCAGTAGAGTGCTGTGGCATCAATAGCTCACAGCAACCTTAAACTCTAGGGCTTAAGGGATTCTCTTGCCTCAGCCTCCCAAGTAGCTGGGACTACAGGCTCCCACCATAATGCCTAGCTATTTTTTGGTTGCAGTTGTCATTGTTGTTTAGCAGGTCCGGGCTGGGTTCGAACCCACCAGCCTTGGTGGATGTGGCTGACCCTGTAATCACTGTGCTATGGGCGCAGAGCCACCAATTCCTTATTTTGCAACTGGAGAAAGCATGAATCATTTATCTTGCCTTTCCTATATCAACTGCACCTCTGGGGAAGTGAGCAACGACTAGGTGAGAGGAACCTTCTCTTTACAGAAGTAGTCTGGTTAAGAAACAAAAAAGGAATGGCAGCATTAGAATATAACCCTTAATAAATTAATGAATCATTAATCACCAACCCTTCTCCCCCCCCTCCAAAAGGCAACCTGATGCATACACATGGTGATGGAGAATATAAAAAAGCAGTCTTACAAATCTATAGATATATAAAGCTTCATAAAGAAGATGCATTTGGATCAACCTGCTAGATCCAACCACCCATTTATATGAACTAGAACAGAACATGATTTATGACAGTTCAGGGAGGTAATCAGCAAAATGCAGGCTGTGGAAAACTCTCAAAACAAATGACTAAGTTTCCTCAATGAATACCATTGCAAGAGGTAGAGTATGATAACATAAAATCCAAAGCATTAATACAAATTTTATTTTAATCAATTCTCTAATTTCCACATATTTTATAGAATATAGTCAGCAAACCCTTGGACTTTCCTGGACTCAGGTATTATTGGTCTTCCCTCATTGGTTCTTCTAAATTAACCCTAAGAAATAAAATACAAGGAAATAATAGACATTGAAACCATTTGGGTTCATAGAAGCACTATTCACAATAACCAAAAGGTAGAAGCAATCCAAATGTGCATCAGCCTAGGAAGGATAAGCAAGGTGTGAAACAAGTACATCCCAATGTGCCCACACCACGGAGTATCACTCAGCCATCAGTGAGAATGGAGCTCTGAGACACACGACAGAGTGGAGGAGCCTCCAGAACAGTGACAGACGAAAAAGAAGCCCAACACAGAAGGTCATATACTGTCTGACTCCAGGCAAATGAAATATCCACAAGAGGTAAACCCATAGAGAAAGAAAAACCGGTGGTGGCCAGGGATTAGAAACTGCTTAACTCCAGCCGGGTTTTATTTTGGGGTGATAAAAATGTTTTAGAATAGAGGTGACAGGGCAGCCTCTGTGACTCAGTGGGTAGGGTGCCGGTCCCATATACCGAGGGTGTTGGGTTCAATCCCCAGCCAAACTGTAACGAAAAAATAGTTGGGTGTTGTGGTAAGCACCTGTAGTCTCAGCTACTCGGGAGGCTGAGGCAAGAGAATCGCCTAAGCCCAAGAGCTGGGGACTGCTGAGCTGTGACGCCAAGGCACTCTACTAAGGGCGACAGAGTAAGATTCTGTCTCTAAAAAAAAAAAAAAAAAAAAAATTGAGGTGAGAGTTGTGCAATATTGTGACTGTACAAAATGCTCCTGAACTATTATACTTTATTTTATTGAGACAGTTTCACTGTGTTTCCCAGGCTAGAGTGCTGTGGGGTCTGCCTAGCTCACAGCAACCTCAAACTCCTGGGTTCAAGCGATCCTTCTGCCTCAGCTTCCCACATAGCTGGGATTATAGTGCCCACCACCACACCCAGCTAATGTTTCTATTTTTGGTAGAGATGGGATCTCACTCTTGCTCCAGAGCTCAAGGGATCCTCCTGCCCCAGCCTCCCTAGTATTATAGAAATGTAATCCCTGTACCTGGCTTTGAATTGTTCACTTAAAAATAGCTAATATTGTCATGTGACTTTCACCTCAATGTAAAAACATTATACAGGGAAGAAGAATTTGGCACAAGTCAAATTATGATGTCATTTGAATTTTAGCACACGTTGTAAGCAAGATACAAAATTTTACTGAACTTATCCTTCATAAATATCATCTGTGAGGTAGGTTTTCTTATGCTCATTTGTCAGTTAAGGAAACTAAAGATCAGAAGAGTTCAGGGACTTGTACAAAGTCCCGTGGTTAAGAACAGCAGATGCTAAGAGAGGAAGGATTTGAACTCAAGGTCTGGCTAACTCTAAACCCCTTGTCATAAACTATACACCTATCTAACCATCCGAGAGAGGCAAAGAATATCGTGTAAGGGGGTGGAGGGTGGAGAGAGAATAAAAACCAACACCTCTGTGTGTGTATAATTTAGTGTCTGTTATCTCAGATATGCGTGAAAGAGGAGCCGAGGTTTGGATCCTCTATGACATGAACAGTATCTTTCCTTTCCTTTTCCTGTGCTGTAACAGGAAAGAGGGACATTGCATTTGATAATAAAAATGCTCGACCAGATAAAGGCCAGGCTTTTTTCTTTCTGACAAAGGCAAATAAGAATTGTAAATCAGACCCTTTAGTCTCAAAAACATTTTGCTTTCCAAACTTTAAATATTTTGTTTTACATGTCTAGTGGAAGAACCAATAAATTTGATGCATAGCTTCCCTTTCCAGAATAAAATATGGAAGCTCAGCACCCATAGCTCAGCAGTTAGGGTGCCAGTCACATGCATTGGGACTAGTGGGTTCAAATCCAGCCTGGGCCAGCTAAACAAAAGAAAACAACAATAACAACAAAAAATAGCCAGGCGTTGTGGTGGGTGCCTGTAGTCCCAGCTATTTGGGAGACTGAGGCAAAAGAGTAGCTTAAGCCCAAGAGTTTGAGGTTGCTGTGGGCTGTGATGCCATGGCACTCTACCAAGGATAACATAGTGAGACTCCATCTCAAAATAAATACATAAATAAAATATGGAATAAAATGAAACAACTCCCCCAAAACAATATGAACAGCACTCCCCAATTTTAGGTTTTTGTAAACAAAAGCAAAAGAACTCAGGACCTAGGTAATAATGTTAGAACATGCAATGTTTTTTCTTTTTTCTTAATGTTCCACTGAAGGAACATCGGGGTGGGCACCTATAGTCCCAGCTACTTGGGAGGCTAAGGTAAGAGAATCACTTAAGCTCAAAAGTTTGAGGTTGCTGTGAGCTGTGTCTCCATGGCATTCTACCCAGGGCAGCATAGTGAGACTCTGTCTCAAAAAAAATAAAATGGTTTGTATAAATGTCCATCAAGGCATAACATATTGTAATAAAACTTCAATGGACTGCTATGCAACCATCAAAAATGCCAATATAATTCTACAGTTATTTATAAGGAAGGATGCCAAAGACATTTATTTATTGAACAAAACATACAAGTTCCAAAAGAACAGGAATAGTATCACCCACTCACATAAGTCTATGTGTATATGTTAGAAGAGAGTCATGAAAGAACATTCACTGAAATTGTAACAGTGGTTTGTCTATGTAGAGGGATTTAGTGGTGTTTTTACTGTCCTCTTTTTGCTTTTGTTTTTGTTGAGACAGAGTCTTACTTTATCACCTTTGGTTTAGTGCCCTGGCATCATAGCACACAGCAACTTCAAACTCCTGGGGTCCAATAATCCTCTTGCCTCAGCCTCTGGAGTAGCTGGGACTACAGGTACCTGCCACAACGCCTGGCTATATATATATTTTTTAAGACAGTCTCACTTTCTTGCCTCTGGTAGAGTGCTGTGGCATCATAGCTCACAGCAACCTCAGATTCCTGGGCTCAAGCAATTCTCTTGTGTCAGCTTCCCAAGTAGCTGGGACTATAGGTGCCCACTACAATGCCTGGCTATTTTTTTAGAGACGGGGGTCTCACTCTGACTCAGGCTGGTATCAAACCTATGAGCTCATGCAATCTACGTGCCTCAGCTCCCAGAATGCTAGAATTATAGGCATGAGCCCCTCTCTCCACTCTGTTTTTTCTATATTGCTTTACCTTTTTACACTGGGTACCTATTGTTTTTATAATGAGAAAAAACAAACCTAAACCTCCTTTCATTAAAAAAGCTAATAAAATCCAGCATGGGGTTCACACCTATAATCCTAGAACTCTGGGAGGCCAAGGAGAATTGGAGATCAGCCTAAACAAAAGCAAGACCTCATCTCTACTAAAAATAGAAAAATTTGCCCGATGCAGTGGCTCAGGCCTTTAATCCTAGCACTCTGGGAGGTTGAGTGGGTGGATTACCTGAGCTCACGGGTCTGAGACCAACCTGAGCAAGACCGAGACCCTGTCTCTAAAAATAGCTGAGCATCTGTGGTGGGTGCCTATAGTGCAGCTACTTCTTAGGCACGAGAATAACTTGAGCCCAAGAATTTGAGGTTGAGCCATGATGCCACAGTACTCTACCGAGGGTGACAAACTGAGATTCTGTCTAAAAAAAATAAAAAATAATAAATAAAAGTAGAAAATCTTACCAGCTGTTATAACAGGCACCTGTGGTCCCAGCTATTTAAAAGGCAGAGGCAAGGGGATTGCCTGAAGCCAAGAGTCTGAGGGTTCTGTGAGCTATGAAGCTACCTCACTTCTACCCTGGGTGACAGAGTAAGACTCTGTCTCAAAATAATAATAAAAGCAGGGCAATGCCTGTGGCTCAAAGGAGTGGGGTGCCAGCCCCACAAGCCAAAAACTGCAAAAAAAAAAAAAAGCAATAAAGTACTTTCAAGATGTCTATCTAAATATTTTGGCATATCTATCCACAAAATTGACTCTATAAAAAGTCATCTTTAAAACATTTACAATTAAGGCTCAGCTCAATGAGTAGGGAGCCGGTCATATATATACACTGAAGCT